CCCCCCCCCCGCCCCCCCCCCCCCCCCCCCCGGTGAAGGGGAGCAGGTCAGGAACAGAAAGAGGGGTGACCAATCTCAGAAAAGCCTGGAGCCTGCCCTCCTGGGCCAGTTCCACATGGCTGGGCTCTATTGTCGAACGCTGAGCCCACACTTTAGATGGAATCTGACATTACATGGTACAACGGAGCCAGTAAATGGCCTGCTCCGAGGTTCAGACAATAAAGTCAGCCCTTCCCCCAGTGGCCGGAATCCTGAGGCCGGAACACACTTCTCCACGTTTCAGCTAACTTCCTCACTTCAAATCCGGGCTCTGTCACGTGAACTTGTTGACCACCCAAGCAATCCCAACAAACACTGAAGTCACACAGAAACCACCTGCTCGGGCTCCTAGGTTTTTGGATGAGCAAGTTTCCTTTAAAATAAATGTGTATCAATTGTTTATTATCACATTGTTTGCAAACACAGGCATGATCAGAAACATTTCGGTAAAATAATCTATATTGTTCTGAAGGTATTTTGGTTTAAAATTCCATCTATTGAAAGATTTTCCTTCTATTAAACCAACAAGAGAAGGGAGGGTCATGATGGCGTCAGAAATATAAATCCCATTAATAGCTCAATAACTGCAAATTTGCAAAAGAAAAGATAGGTTTGATGAAACACAGCAGCATTAATTAGAAAAGTTAGGACTGTGTTATGTCCTAAAAGCAGAAAATATCATTCAGAGCAGTATCAGAGCATTCTCACCTTGTTTCTGTTTCTTTGTACAGCCTGCCACTAAGCTAATTTAGGATGCTTAACAATATTTGGTGGTACAAAAACCAATTCCGTTCTCTTCCCAGCAGCCAGCAAAGGAAGCCTGCAGACTTCAGCTGGGGCTTGGGGGCAGAGCTCTGGGCTTTGGCACAGCCCCTGGCAGCAGGAGCAGGGCTTCCTGTAACTTTCTCAAGCGCGCCAGTCCTTGTGTGTGAGGCCATGGGCTTCTGTTATCTCCGCACATCCACCTCCTTGGCTACAGATGTGTTCTAGTTTTTTTTTTTTTTTACCAGAAGAAAATGGAGAAGGAAAATGCCAATTTTAGAATTGCTGGCATGCCAGTCCTTGTGTGTGAGGCCATGGGCTTCTGTTATCTCCGCACATCCACCTCCTTGGCTACAGATGTGTTCTAGTTTTTTTTTTTTTTACCAGAAGAAAATGGAGAAGGAAAATGCCAATTTTAGAATTGCTCGCATCTGTGTGAAGCACAGAGAAACTCACTTCCATAATCAATTTCTGCTCCTACTGCTGGACAGAGATGAAGAATGGGCGGTTCTGGAAGGTGGAAGTTTCTATATGAGTGCACATATGAGCGTGCATGCGTGTGCGTGCGTGTGCGTGCATGTGTGAGTGTGCGTGTGTGCACGTGTGCACGCGTGTGTGCATGCGTGCGAGCATGCGCGCGTGCGCGCGTGAGTGTGCATGCGTGTGCACGCGTGTGTATGTGTGTGCATGCATGTGTATATGTGTGCGTGTGCACATGCACACGCGTGTGTATGTGTGCGTGCGTGTGTGCACGTGTGCACCTGCGTGTGTGCATGCGTGTGCGTGTGCATGTGTGAGTGTGCATGTGTGTGCGTGCGTGTGTATGTGTGCGTGCACGCATGTGTGCGTGCAGACACAGAGGGATTTATTCAGAGGTGGGAGAGAGATCATAAAATGCAACCCATCTCCAGTTCTGGAAGGTGGAAGTTTCTATATGAGTGCACATATGAGCGTGTGCGCGTGTGCGTGCGTGTGCGTGTGTGTGCATGTGTGAGTGTGCGTGTGTGCACGTGTGTGTGCGCGTGTGTGCATGTGTGTGAGTGCGTGTGTGCATGCGTGCGAGCACGTGCGCGTGTGTGCATGCGTGTGCACGCGTGTGTGCATGCATGTGTATGTGTGTGCGTGTGCGCATGCACGCGCGTGCGTGTGTGCATGTGTGCGCGTGCGTGTGTGCATGCGTGTGCGTGTGCATGTGTGAGTGTGCATGTGTGTGCGCGCGTGTGTATGTGTGCGTGCACGCATGTGTGTGTGCAGACACAGAGGGATTTATTCAGAGGTGGGAGAGAGATCATAAAATGCAACCCATCTCCGTGTTGCCCAGGTTCCACAGGATGCTAACGGGTATCAAAACAAAAACAAAACCAAACAAAATCTGCACACGCCAAAGTCTTTCCAAACAAGTTTGGGAAATGTGAGGAAACGCTGGCTTCAAGAAAGCAGGGCTCCCTGACATGTCTCCTCTGCTGATGGGCATCACGATGCTCCACGAGGCAGACTGACCACGAGTGTCTCTCCAGACTTACCTGTCTGCGGCCACTCTCTCTGGTTTCTATTTTAAACAGATTACTTACAGGCTGGTGTCCCGCAGACCTTCTGTTTGAGAAATGCCACACTAGCTCAATCCCCACAATTCTGTACGAGGACACTGGGTCCCAGAAAGTTGGTTAAAAGCTTTGCCCAAAGTGATACAATTCGTCCTCGGCAGAGGGACCCACTCCCAGAGGTGTCCATGGGTGGGGCCTGGGACGCCGTGTGCTGGGGGGAGCAGCCCGGACAGCCGGCAGACTCTCGTGGACAGCACGGAACGTTTGCTCCAGAGGAGGTCATTTGCACTGGACGGTTCTGCCCAGGCTTCTGTGTGAAGCCACGTGGTGTCCTGCAAGTGCAGTGTCACCAGCAGGGAGGGCAGCGGGGAGTGCTGCGAGGCTGGGGGCTGCTGCAGGGTCTGAACTGCACACACTGCGTCCCCCGCTGTGATGCGAACCCCGAAACGCAGCCCCGGTTGGCCGCCTGGTGCCCGCCACGTGCCCGGGGAGAGGCCACTGACCAGCCTTCGGAGCAGGTACTGCTGTCGCCCGCGGCCTGCATGGGGTCGATGGGGACAGGGCGTGGACGCCGCGTT